AGAGAGAATGGCTTTGAAGGACAGGCCATGTTTGGATAAGTGAAGCAGAAAGGAAAAAGGTCTTTCAGGGGCAGGGACCATGTGAGCAAAAGGCAAAACCATGGGCAGGCTCGAAGTACACAGACAACTGAAACTCACCCATACAGGAAACAGTGAGAGCGAGGCTGACTGTGTCACAGAGGCCTTGAACTCGGACTAAGGAGCACAGAACTCTCTTGCCATAGAGTGGTGGCCGGTTGTGGGGGAGGAGAGACAGAGGTTTGTTCTCAGTGAAGGAAGCTACAGAGATGGTCTTGTCTGGTCCGAATTGAGCAGCACGAGTGTGCAAGTGGCTTTCACCAAGGCTCCCTTGGTATTTTAGGTTCTGCTCCAGCCCTGCTTAGGTGACTCACGGCACCCTCCCTTTCCTCCTGTGTTCCAAGGCCCTGGCCGAGATGCTCAAGGTAAATACAGTGTTGAAGACGCTGAACGTGGAATCCAATTTCATTTCCGGAGCAGGCATCCTGCGCCTGGTAGAGGCCCTTCCGCACAACACTTCTCTCGTGGAGCTGAAAATCGATAACCAGGTAAGAAAGGCAGGCTGTCTCTTCATGCCCTTCACTAAGGAACACTCACTGTCCGCTCTTTCCTGCACACTGCTGGGTGTAGCAGAAGACGCCGTTATAAAATCTACAGAGCCCAGCTTTAAGAAACCTCAAAGATTGTCCAGTTAACACCTCTACCTGTGCTCACCTGCCTTCGTCATCATTTCCACCAAATGTTCTTCCAGTGTGTCCTTGTGTCCCTAATGACAGGGAGCTCACTCCTTAACAAGATCACCCCTTCTGTTCTTAGTGAAAACATCCTTCCTTATATCCTGTGGAAATCAGCTACCTGCTTAGAGAAGTCCTGTTTCTTAGGCTTAATTCTGTTCTGGTAGCATATAAAATATACCTGGTGCACAACATTTATAACTCATAACATTTATAACTCATTTATACCTAAATATCCCCATTTTCTTTAATCACCCCCTTTCCCATCCTACTCCCTACCTAACAGGTTGTTTTAGTCTTCTTACCATCCAGATTATTCTCTGGGTAAATTCTAGCTTGTTCTTACCCTTATGGGATTCTCATTTCTCTGTTACATCAATGGTTCAGTCATTTATATTCAGAGTAACTCTTCCCATTCTGATCTTCTATGGTAATGTTAATAACAATATCATGTCATAAAATAATGTATATGTTAAATATGAGCAGGCTCTGTGCTGTACAGAGCCATCATTTCTTATCTTCCCAGCCATCCTTCAGAATGTAAGTATTATCAGTTTACAGAAGAGAAGCCACTCAGGATGCTAAAGACAAATAACTTTTTCAAGGCTACCAAGATCACACTTAAGGAAACAGGATTTGAATCCAAGTCTGGCTCCCAAATATACTACATTGTTTCACTGTTGAAGTGTTTGCTTCACCATGTATTGGGAACCGAGGTTGAAAAATTCATGTTACATGATTTTTTTTTTTTTTTTTTGCTGAATGGTCATATAAATATATGCATAGAAAGAAGATTGGAGGGAAATATAACAAAACTGTAAATAGCTGTTATCAGCAAACGAGATTTTCTGTAGTTTGTATTTTTTACTATAAAATATGATAAACATACAGGAAATTGCACACACTTAAATGTACAGCTTAATGAATCGTAGCAGTCATATAACACCTGAATCCTTTCCTCTCAGTGGTGGTGCAGAGCTGGCTTGAACCTGCATGCCAGAGCTGACGGTACACATCTCTTCTTAACCCCACACAGGGATGGCTTACTGCTGCCTTGAAGTCACCCCTAGTGAAAATATTTACACGGTGAAAATGGCAAACACTACCATGGTTTTTTTTTTTTTGAGTGCCAGCATACCGCCGCCTTTTTCCCATCAGCCCGCCATAGCACCTCTTAGCTTCCTTCAAGAGAATCATGTGCCCCTCCCTGTGCTCTCAGCACGTCAGCCTCCCCAGGAACTTCTAGAGGCTGGTGTTGTGTCTGAGTCATCGCCACACTCCAGTTTCCAGCTTATTCCTGCAGCAGTGCTTGGTAAGCAGAGCTCCCCTGGATGGTTGTGCATGTTGTGCACTGCACAATGAGGTGGCAGGAGCAACCTCCCACCCACACTCCACTCTCCAGCTCTTGAGAACAGCCTTCGTTCACCCCAAAAGGCCCTTTTTTCTGACATATACAGAGGCCACGTAAGCCAGCAGTGACTCTGTTCTGGAATTTGCTGCCCTGGACTCTTCACACCTCATGATGAGATGTGCTGCTGGGTCACCCTCCCCAGTGCCACCCTCCCACCCTCTTTGCCACTGTTGCCCTGCTTTACTGGAGCCAGGAGGGGCAGGGCCAATAGAACAGAGGTATGCAGCAGCAACACAGCTGCCCTGGGCCAGTCCCCAGGAATAGGAACTCTGTAAGTCCTGGGGGAGGGGAGTAGTGGCCTGTCTAGCTTCAGCTGAAACCTGACTCCCAGAGCAGAGCAGTGTTGGCCAAAGACCATCTAGAATATTGGCTTCCGGTCTTTGGGGGTGGCAGCTGGTGACAGGCTGCCCACCCTCCTCCTCAGGGCTGTCGACCAGCACCCTCGTGAGCACCCGCTGTGAGAATGGCTGCTGCCCTGAGCCTCGGGTTCCTCACTTGTAAACTGGGGCTAGTAAGCATCTCCACTTCTAACTCAATAGCAGATGTCAACTGTTGTTAACTTTTATATTTGCTGCTGCAATGGTGGTTAGTTATTCACACATTCTTCTTCTAGCTATTTTATTGGACAGATATCCTGTGTCCATTATCTCATGTAATGCTCACAAAGGTTCTGTAAGAGGTATTCCAACACACCCCCACATTGTAGATGAGAAAACTGAGGCCCAGACCTACCCAAGGTCACACAGGGAGTGACAGAGGCAAGGTTTAGACTAGGGCTGTGTGACTTCAAAGTCCACCAGCTGTATCTGTGAGCTCTTGAGCTCTACAGTAGTTTTGTGTGGGACGAGCTTGGCTTGGCTCTTCTGTCCCTTTCCCTTGGTACAAGGCTAGTTACCACCTGCCCCCTCCTTAACCCCCCATCCTGGGAATATTCATCCCAATGTTAAGTGAGTCTAGGTTGCACCCCAGGGGCTGGACCAGGCTCTGTGTGTGAAGGAGGACCTAGCTTTGCCCCTCAGGATTCCACATTGGATGGGAATTCAGACAAATAAAATGGCCATGGAACCCGCTGCTTCAAAGCCACAGACAGCAGACCTCGCCAATGGAAGGAGGATGTCAGTCAGGAGCATGCATCAGAGAGGGCTTCTTGGAGAAATTGAAGCTTGAACTAAACCTTTAGGAAAGACTACATCTCAGAGGTTGACATGGAGGCCGTGGCGTTTTAGGTAGCTGAGAAGGAAAAGGGAAAGTTGTGGGATTATACTGGACTTGAAGAAAAACCAGAAGGGGAGTTGGAGGTCTAGAGGGCTCTGAAAAGGCAGCCTGAGGGAAAGTGGGCTGTGGGCTGTGAGCTGTCACTGATACCAATCAGAGCTGGGCTCTGAGAACACAGTTCGCAGCTGGAAGGGTGGGAGAAGGCAGCAGGGCCCAGCACAGGACAGGACTATGATAGCTCAAATGAGGTAGACCTGTGGAAAGTTCTCTGCATGCCTGGAGGCAGGAGATTGGATTGGAGCTTGCTAGAGAAGGTGAGGAAAGGCTGAGACTGGCCTCAGAGAGGGGACTCTGCCTGCCAGGCCCAGGGCAAGGCCAGGCGAGTCTCTCACGGTGCTATCCAGGAGTGCAGGGCACAGTCTGCCTCCTTTCCTTGGTGCCCCAGTCCTGGGCTCCGCAGGGTATGACAACGAGGAGGTGGTGAGTGGCAGTTGATTTATTCCCCTTTTTTGGTTAGTCATGAAGTCGTCCGAGGTCCAGGCTGGTGCTTTCTCTCCAGCCCTTGTGCCTATAACCTGTGTCAGTGAGTCTCTGTCCTCTGTTTTCCTTATATGGCCAAAAATCAAGACTTGAGCAGTTGTAATTAGATGACACAGAGTCTCACAGGCTGGTTCAGGACACAAATTCAGGAGCCAGAGCTGAAGCCACGTGGTTACTCAGCCAGTCTCTCGTTACCTCCAAGCAATGTTCTGAAGTTGCCACAGGCTGCACTTATGGATGGACCTGAGAGACCCTCTCAGACCCCAGGGAACCGGCCCTGGAGTATCTGTAGGCCCATTCATCCTATGAAGTGATCCTTTGCCCGTCATGGTTCCACCCATGCAGTGATTCTCTGTACCCACTCACTCCCGGCAGACTGCCTCCAGCAGGCCCTTCCCCAAACTCGGATTGCTCAGAGCTCTCTCCCTGTCCTCAGCCTGAAAACATCCCCCCATCCCTGCCCCACCCCAATAAGGGCATGTACAAGATGTGGAGGCAATTTGGCCAGATTTCCCTCTTTTCGTTCCAATATTGATGGTGAGGATATAATTTTTATTTTAAGAGAAGCTAAAGGAGGTAGATATGTGTTCTTATTTTTCCAGATCAGATTATATTCCTAATGGAACTAGTTTAGCAATAAAACGAAGCTATGCTGGGATTGGATCATGAAGGTTGTAACATACGGCAACTGTCCCTTCATTTTAGATTACATGCCATGGCAGCTGGCTAACTTTATTTTAAATGAACTTGAGTATGACTTTTGGGTTTTGCATCTAAGGAGAACAGACTCTTGAAAACCAAGAGACGACTTTCCAACCAGGCTGTGGCATTCCTTCCACATTTAGTGTCTTAGCAACAGTTCTTATCCTGCACCTAAAGTTTTGTGTCTGTAATCTCCTTGTGTGTGGAACTAATTTGGCCTGGAGATATTCAGCCCCCAAAAGAGGACAGGCATATTTCACTATCTTTTTCTCAAAATGTCTATTAATTTCTTTTACTGGCTTCACTTCTCAGGGGAAAATGAGATAAAGTCTATAGAACAAAAACGACATAGAGAAACTCCCTCTCCTACACAGATCAAAATGACACAGAATAAAGATGTAACAATAGCCATCTCATAACGAGTCCAGTCCCCACTGGAGGCTGCACTCTGTTCTGAAAACACAGGCGCTTTCTAGATATGCCCCAGACTGTCTTTAAATCTCTGACTCTTGAATTCAAGCAAGGGTTCAATTTCCAGCAAAGCCCCAGCTCCGACATGTTTTTTCCAGGTAACTGGGGCATCACTGGGGTGCCCACACCTGAGTTTCTCCATCTGTGAAATGGGGAGGTGTTCATGCTTGCCTGAAAGCATTGTGAGGGAATTCAGTGTGTTAGTTTCTTTTTTTTTTAAAGATTTATTTATTCATACAGAACTGGAGTACAGGCCAGAGATGCGGAGGGTGAGAGGATTCACCAGAGACAGAGTGGGGTGTAGAACAGGCAGATCGACGAAGTACACTGCTGAGGGAGCAGCGGGCGGGTCAGGAGAGATCTGCTGCACCAGGTGATCACCTCCTGGTCAGGCGGGGATCGAAATCAGGCGGGGATCGAAATCAGGCGGAAGTGGCTTAAGCTTCTTAGTGCTGTGCTTTAACCCGCTGCGCCA